TCTGTGATCGGACGAGACTGCTTATAATCCGATGGTTTGCTACTCGTTATAATTTCACAGAATTTCAATGCCCGGTTGGAGACTACGATTGGTTATGTACATGACTGAATTTTCAATTTTTTATTTAATCATAAATGAGTTCTTTTAGGGTCTTACAAAAATTTCAATTTTTTTTTGAAAAGTTTTTTAAGTAAATACATTATTTAAAGTGTATTTCAATGCTAAATTTCAAAAATCGCAATTAAAAAAACATTAGTAACATTTTTGTGTAAAATTAAAACAGGTTGACGGAATCGACCCTATGGGATTGGGACCATAGCCGGTTACCGGGCCTAGGATCAATCTTTGGATATTTGTTTGGGACCAGGAGCTAGCCAACTTAATTTTGAAAGGACCGATTTCTAATATTTCTAATACTGTTCGTGTGGGTCCACTTGTAAAAAGAAATACAATATCATTTATTTTTATTATTTTGAAAATATTTTTTTTATAATTATTCAATATTAAGGGATGTTTACTAAATGCTTACTTGGTAAGTGTTTGTTGGATAACTTTACCTTATCGGATGAGCATAACAAAGATTGAGAATCTTACCTAGTAAAAGCAACGACAAAGATCGAAAGTCTTACTTTGAAATGGATCTTCACTCTTCGATGCATATTAGGATGAGATGTCTTTGAAATGAGATGCACCAGATCAATCTTTGTATCAAGCTAGATTCATAGGTGAGTTTAAGATTAAAGATGATAAAGGGTCCAATCATCCCTTACATTTCTCACATTAACTCTTATTCTCACACGATCATTCGTCTATATTATAATATGATTTAATAAAATGATACATAACTGTAAAATTTATTTTGGTTACAATCTATAGAGTTAAATTTGTAAATCAGCTGGCAAAGGAGTAGAGTGACTTTGCACGAATATAAGACAAATGATAGGTTCGATCCTAAACCACTGTGCTAGCCTCAGCCGTCGAGTGAATCAAAATTTGTCTTCATATTAGTGTCCTTAGGCAGAGGTGGAACACAAGCCTTCTAACCAAGGGGGCCGAAACAAAATGAGTCGAGTCAAGTCGAGTCGAGTCGAGTAGCAAATAATTCAAGTTCCGCTTGAAAAAGACATAGCTAAAATTCAAACTATATAAGCTCATTTATGGGGTCAAACTTGAGATGAGTAACTTGTTTATCGGCTCGGATGAGACGAGTTCAATATTAATATTATGAAGTTTAGCTCGTTAAGTTATAATGAGTTTCATTTTATGTTCGAGATCAGCTCAAACTTAAAAATTATTAAGTTCAAGTTCGAGTAGCTGGTTGAAAGCTTGAATTGTTAACACCCCTAGGCCAAACCAAATCTTTTATACATATGTATCTGTTGAGTGGGCCAAAAAAACGGCATTTGTCCTTTGGAGGCAAATTCCATTTGGGGCTAGTTAAGGTTGTCCGTAATCAACATTTTACCCAGATATGATATACATAAACAAGTCCAACGTAATCTATAAATATCTTGTAAATCACAAATCAAAAACTCTTATGAGAAATTGTCTGAAGTATTCCAAACTCAAATCAAACAAATTTAAATCCAATCAAACAACTTCAAACTCAATCAAGCAATTTCAAATCCATCAAACAATTGAATAAAATGAAACAAACCTGAGGTTTGGGCCTTTGGGGATTATGGATAATGGGTTTGTGTAGAGTTTGGGCTTCCTTAAAAATAAAATTAAAAAAGTCCAGCCCATTAACCTATTTACAGTTTGGGCTTAGATGATGCTTAAACTAAACTAAATTGGCTAAGTAGAGTTGGTGGACTGTAACAGTAGTAGTAGTTAGAGGTGGCCAAAAATCGGTCCCGGGCCGGGCCATAACCGGTTACGGCCGGTCCCGATCAAGACAAAAATGTTTCATAACCGGTCCCGGTTTCGGTGAAATCCTCCATAACCGGTTAAACTTACCGGTAACCGGTTAAGCCGTCCGGTCCCGGTCCATAACCGGTTACGGCCGGTCCTTTACAAAAAAAAAAAAAAATTTCTTTAAATTTTTGGTAATTTATATATATATATATATATATATAACAAAACATATTTTAAACGTATTTATAAAATTAAACGTGTTTATTACTAATATGTTATTAATATGTTTGTAATATGTTATTTTTAATATGTTTTATATAAATACGTTTAAAAATATGTTTTGTTATATATATACGTTTAAAAATATGTTTTATTATATATATATATATGCATATATATATATATATATATACGTTTAATTTTATAAATACGTTTTGTATATATATATATACACGTTGACTTTTGTTGACCGGACCGGTCCTATAACCGGTTACATAACTGGTTCCGGTCTTAACCGGTCTCGGTCCTAAAAAACGTTAAAATCCATAACCGGTTCATAACCGGCGGTTCACAACGGTCCATACCGGTCCCTCTCCGGTCCCGGTTCCGGTCCTCCGGCGGTTACGGGCCGGGCCGGGCCCATTTGGCCATCTCTAGTAGTAGTGATGGTCAAAAACCGGTTCCAAAATTTCTCATAAACGGCCATAACCGGTCCCAATCGGAAAAGTTGAGTCCGGTCAAGCTTTATTGTAATTGGTTATCGGTCATTAAAAAATATTTTTTTATTTTTATTTTTTTAATGATATATATTTTTAATACATAATAAAATTTGTAATTGGGACACTCAAATACATTTTAAAAATGCGTTTTATTATAATTAAAATTATATTGTCTTACAAAATATAGCAAGAAACCGATAATTGTGAACGTTTTTTTTTTTTTGCATTTTTTGCGAATCGAGAACTTGGTATGTAAATTTCTCAACCAAGGCACTTATATATAATGTTTAGAAAGCAAAAAATGCCAAAAAACGGCCACATTTAAAAAAAATAGTTACATTTTTTAGAAATCGGGCCGGGCCGGGCCATAACCGGTCTCGGTCCCACGAAACCCTCCAAATCCATAACCGGTCTCAGATTTCGATCCTATAACCGGTCCTCCAGCGGTCCTGGGCTTGGCCGGGCCGGGCCGGTTTAGCCATCACTAGTTTACACTACAAACAATAATATGTAAAGGTTTTTTATATAAACTTTAGTTATTTGAAAAAACGAGTTTCTAAGATGGTTAAAAAGTGAAAGTCATTTTATAAAATGACTATTTACGTAAATTTCCATATAAAAAAGTAGGGCTGTAAATGAATCGAGCGAACACGAACGGAGGCTTGTTCATGTTCGTTCGTTTAACTTAACCGAACAAACGAACGAACACGAACGGTAAACGAACGAAATTTTTTGTGTTCGTGTTCGTTTGTTTAGAAATCAGGTGTGTTCGTGTTCGTGTTCGTTTATGTTTATTTGTTAACATGCTAAACGAACGTAAACGAACGAACATAAACGAACGAGTTAAACGAACATAAAGAAATATTATTTGAATTCATAGTAAATAAATAAGATTATATATTAAATTTAATATATAAACGAACATAAACGAACGAATATAAATGAACGGTAAATGAACGAACGTTCACGAACATAAATGAACAAACGAGACTCTTGTTCACAAACGGTTCGTTGAACGTTCGATTCGTTTACAATCCTATAAAACAGAAGCCATGCCCCCAAAGGTCCCATGGCACATCAGTCATTACGTGGAGGACATAATCAATTTTTTGGTCTAAATAATAAATAATCTAGATAAATTATAAAAAATATATAAATATATTTATAACATTTTATTTAATGTTCAAAAGCAAAAATAATATCAAACTTTATACCATTTAAAAATATATAAATATATTTATAATATTTTAATTAATGTTCTATTCGTCATGTATCAGGTTGCGTCACGCACCAACTCCGTCATTCCATGTCCAAGTTTGTGAATAGAACATTAAACTTGCATGTTTGGTCCTTCTAAAATTTATTTGTTTTCTTTTTTAATCCCTCAAATCATAATTTTTATAAACTTAAATTGTCAACTGGCGTTTTTGTTTATTACTTTAAACTACACATACAAAATGTCAACACCAATTTTTTGCCCATTTTTCTCATCATTTATTAATCATAAAAAAACTTTATTTACAATATTATCATCATTAAAAACATGGTTGGGTTGAAAATTTTCAAACCGCAAATATTGTGTTGGCTTGTTCAAATGTCTTCAATCCAAATAACCATACCCATGTGCAACCGTGGTTAAAAGACTCATACTTAGGGGCATTTATCAGATGTTTGTCTGGTAAAAGCTTATCGGTAAAAGTCACTATTCTCATTTACCTTATTTTATTCAGTAAGATTTTCAATCATTAAAATTGTACAATAGGCAATAATCCGACTCAATAAGTACTAACCGGGTAAGAGTCACCACCATCACTTGTCGGGTAAGATTGTCAATCCTTGAGATGTTTTTTATCAAGTAAGATTTTCAGTCCTTGTCATACTTATCTGATAAGCTAAGTGACTAACAACACAGTATTGTCATTTACATGGTTTTATTACTTTGTTAAGAAGAAATTCACCAGCCATAATGAATAAAAGGACCAAAAATGATAGAAAAATCATGATTAAATGATAAGATTAAGGGACCGTTTACTAAACACTTGTTTGGTAAGTATAAATTTTCTCATCGGATAAACATGAGAAACAGATAAAGGCCAATAATTTTACCGAGTAAGAACGATGAGAAGGATGAAGAGTCTTACCCGGTAAATAAGGATGACGACTCTTACCCAGGTAAGTGCTTACCTAGTAAATTATTGCATTCGATATGCTTTGATGTACTAAAATCTTACGCATCTAAATAATTTATAATGTTAACTCCTATCGATAAGCACATATAAACATTTGGGTAAACGACTCCTTGATAAATGCAAAAAAAAATAACTTATAGGGACAAGTGTGCACATTTCCACATTTCTTAGTTCAGGGACATAAATGTAATTTTCTCTTTTTCTTAAAAAGAAAGAAAAATCTAAAAATGGCGCTGGGTCGTCACGCGCTGATTGGGCGGCCAATCGGAGACGGAGTCTTGTGAACGTTTCAATCATTTGCCAGTTGGCCACCAACTCAACTCAAAACTCCTCGTCGTCTCCGGCGAAACATTTTTCAAATTCCCTCATTTTCCGATCATACACAGTCGCTCCTCTTACAAGCCATCGGAAAACCTTCCTGTCCTCTCTCCAGAAATTCAACTGATCGTCTTCTTCTTGAGTAGAGGGATAGAAACTGACGGAGATGTCGCCAAATTGGGAGCTGAAGGATTGTTGCGACCGCGACCAGAAGCTCTTTCTCGCTACCGTTGGCATCTTCACTATAGTCATCCTCGCGGTTAGCTACTTTTTTTTCTCTCGCAGTTGAAAGATTTTATCTTCTATGCATCAGATTTTTCCCGTCCGTAGTTAACCCTAAACATTTTGCGTACACTTATTCTGAAGACTTTCTGATGCTTTTCAGTAGTTATGTTTATATAACTTAGCATCATATGCTGCGGATAGTTTCTGGTTTCTGTTGTTGAGACTATTATGAAATTTGCTGTTTTGAACTCAAATTTATGATAGGATAAATTTGATTGTTAACAAGTTGAATGTGATTAGGAAGGCTGGTATATTTGATTAAGTACATTAGTAATTGGGGAAGGAACTTGTATTTATTTTCTACAGCTCTTTTCTAGGAAATGATCTAGGTTTTGGAGCATTCAACTCTACCCAGATGAATAGTTATTCTCATTGATGTATCAAAATTGCAAACGTCAATGCTAGAATTGATTTTCCAAGGACGATTTTATCAAGCTGATTTAGTTTGGTGTTCAATTTTAGCTGTGCCTTAACAATTGCAATTTACACACAATTTTGATGTATGAAGAGAGCAAGTATATGAGTGCAACATCTTTTTAAAGAGAAGTTCTAAACTTTTCATAATAGTTTGACAACCATAACATTGTTTAATACGAGTTTTCATGATAATGAGGCAGTATGTTCTATAATTTTACTAAGCAGTCTGCATCAGTTACTGCGGATATGATTATATAATTATTTGTTGAGCTTGAAGATTTATGGGCACTGCCTTTTCATGTTTGTTCATTGTTATTGATTTGCATGAATGGTACAGTTATGGAGGACATTTCTGCTTACCCCTTTCAAGCTCATCACAGTCTTTCTTCATGAAGCAAGCCATGCAATCGCCTGTAAGCTTACATGTGGAGAGGTAATACTAGAAAAGGCTTTATCTTGATCCTCTATACATTATTATTCATCCACATAAGTTGATTTTCTTACGTCCTTAATGCTATGATATATTGGTCTGGGGTTGAGGCCATTTCATGCCAGATAGTCACTTGTACAAGTGAAATACTTTTTAAACAATATATAAAGGAACCAAATGTGACAGGAGATTGAGGCTTAAAAACCAAACCAAACTGACCCAGTAAATCACACTCGAAAGTTGGGGGGGGGGGGGGGGAACGAGATGTATGCAGACATGTGCTCTATCCTAAAGAGTAGAGTGCTTGATCTGTGAAATCCTCTGGCTGGTGCAAGAGTGTGAGCAAACAGGTAGCACATAGTAATCATAGAACAGGAAAACTAAGAAAGAAAAATTAACAAGTAGCCAAGTAGGTACATTGAAAACACTCGAAATGTAAGGCAAGGCAAAACACACATAGAAACAAGTAAGGCAAAAACACATCCCTATATCCCTCTCTTCGTTGTAGGATTCTGGTGACCTTAACTGCCAGCTCTGAAGCCCCCTCTCCCTGTCACAGTCTCAACCTCTCCAACTCTCTTCTGTCCATCCATGCTAGATACAGGTCACCACACCTAGTCTGCTACCCTAGTCCTTCATCTCCTAAGTACTATCAGAGGTCATGTCCTTGGAAATGTCCTAGGCTGCTATGTCACTCCTCAATTGCTCATTCCATGTCCTCCTCACCCCCTCAATTGTCACCCTTTCTACTCTCCTCGACATTGCAGCCATCAGTCTCCTACGGCCTTGTCCAAACCATCACAAATTCCCCTCTCTTTAATTTATCAGAGGGTTGCAACTCTCAACTTAGCTCGAAATACCTCATTTGGAATGCTATCTAGCATGGTTTGACCATAAGTCTATCCCAACATCCTTATTTTCGCAACTTTCTCTCCTCGGCCTTTCTTCTCGCCCAAATTTCTCTGAGGCCTTCTGTCCCTGGCAAAAATAAATCCATTGATCTAGCTGAAGAACCTAATCACTGTTCGCACCCTCTATGATAGCAATTTAATGGTATATTGAATTGCATTGCTCTATGATGCTACAGCGAGTTTAAATCCTATCTAGACCCTTTCAAGTCTCAAGTAAACATCCATCAAAGGAGAGTGAGTCAATATCATGATCCAGAATAAACCACAGTTCCCGAGAGTGTCTCGGCTTCAATTTGGTAATAACTGCATTTATTGTTAAGACAGCTAGGTATTTCATATTGTATTGCTTATAAATGCAGTAACTTACATGGAAAAACAAGGAATTTAAGCAACGAAATATCTAGTTGCTAAATCTTTCACTGATGGTTGTACACTAAACATCGGCAAACATATGTCATCTTAAGTTTTCAGCCATATATGCCTCACTAGATTTTTCCCTTTCCACGTTTATTACCATACAAAATTGTTTCTATAAATAGTTGATGCATTCCTTCTCCTGCGGCACCAACCCGACATCTTAACTAATATTTTTCAACTAAATCGTACTTTTTTTAATTCTTTCCTCTCTGAAAGCTGCCTCTTTTAAGCTCTTTCTTTTCTCTACTTAATTTGATAAAATAGGCTTATACTAAACTGGGTCTAATTTTTCCCCGTAACTTGCTTCTAAATTTAGTAACCATAATCAAATTGTGTTTCTAGTTAACTGAACTAGAACACAATGAAGCTTGAAATCCAATTCCCAAAAAGGAATTTGGTCAACAGAGTCGGCCTTCTTTATGGAAAATTGAATTGAACAATGAACTATGGCCTTTAATACTTTGTCCATCGTTGTGGCAGCATACATCTCTTTCTTAGCGGATATATTACAAAGATTTTTTCATCATTAAGGAATAGGACATTCTAAAAGTTTCTTGTGCTGCCTAAAAAGTTTTAGTTACTGTTTTATTTTTAATCAGATTTTGCTGTAAAACATGGCTGCTTAATTTATGGATGCCTCCCTGTATTAACAACTCTTTATCCAATTTGTTTACCTTGGTATGCAGGTAATGGGCATGGAGGTTCATGCCAATGAGGGAGGGGTGACACAGACACGTGGCGGCATATATTGGTTGATCTTGCCTGCCGGATGTATATACACTTTCTCACATAAATTCATTTTCTTTATTGAAGTGCATTTTTTTGCTTGCAAGCTGCAACTGAATTGCATCATATATCACATATTTTAGAACTAACAGCCTTAATTGACATCAAAATACACGTGACAAGCTTGGCTTGTCTAGGTACAAATTCATCATAACTTGTAATAATGTAATATAGCAAGATAGATGAGCAACTCCAGTACCATGTTACGTTACCAACTCATCTGAACACTTGAACCTCGTAGCTGGAGGCCTGTCATTTGTATATAGCTTTGATTACACTCTTCTTTGAAATTGCTAGTATAAGAGAATTAGTCGCTTTATATACTTATCTGTATGGTATATGTCGAGAGTATCTGACCAGATGAGCTTGGGGTCAGTTTGACTTTGTTCTTTGTGATTTATATGAGACATATCAACCTAACCAAACCAATGAATCTCACATGAAATTGGGTTTGGGGAGGGTAAGATGAACGCTGTTTTTCCTCTACTCCAAGATAGAGGGTAAGCTGTATGAGCTATATAGAAAGACTATATAAAACATAACAAAACCTTCACCATATCAAAGGCCATGTCCGGCAACCATAAGCTACCTTATTTTTTGAACTTACTGAAAAAGCTTTATTTGTTTAGCTATAAACTAGCTTATAAGCTAGCATTTTGAAAACCTATTTCAAGTAGCATTCTAATAAGTTCTGGGAGCTGTTTTCCACTTTTTTCCAACTATGCCCTTTATATTTTTCCAAATACTTTCTCAACATGTCCTTTTAGGTCACTTTACATTGTCATCTAGCTTACCTGCTAGTTTTAACCAAACATGACTAGTTTATTAGCTGGCTTCTTAATCAACAACTAACTTGCCAAACATACTGGAAGTTTAGCTAATGAATTCTTTAGTTTCTTATCATGGACATATTTTACCATTTTAGCATGATCTTAAAAGTCATAAACTTTATAGCATCTCTGTGAATGACTGGTTCTTTGCATCCAGATCTTGGTTCATCATTTTGGGGCATGCTTTTAATCCTGGCATCGACGGATCTTCTAGCTGCAAGAATTGCTGCTGGTTGCTTAGCAGCCGCACTGCTTGTCGTACTCTTTATTGCCAAAAATGTAAGAAGGCAATGATATATTTTCATATTCAGTACTACGCCATGTGTTGCTTGTTTGTTTAACATGTTTCTCTCATATCTGCCCTTGATGCATTTTCGGTTTATTGTACTTTGCACATACTCTCACCTGTAACTGTAGCCTGCTTGCTTTTTTTTCTTTCTATTTTCTGTTTTGGAAATCAGGGGTTTCCTCTCAATCCTCAACCCCCCACAACAAACCCTAGTACCCTACCTCTATGTGAGGTTTTTTTTCATTCAGCCCTAAATGCATTAAGTTGTCTGTATGGATTGAATTGTCTGTATGAGGGACGGGCGACCGATGGGTTTGAGGGAGGCCAAGAGAGAGGGTCGGGTTATTTCTAGGGCATTTCTGGTATTAATTTGTTTGAGGTGGCTTAATGGGGACAAGTGAGGGGTCCCAGCTTAGTCCATATAGCCATTTTGGCTTAATGGCTTAAAGATTAAGCCGTAAAGAAACATTCTTCTATGGCTGAATGAATAAGCTGCCTAGACCATTAAACTCATTAAGCTGTAAGTAAAATGCCCCTGAAATTTATTGGGTTAGTTTGCTTTATTTAGTATGTCTCTGAATTCACAGTTACTTGAGTTTTTGTTATTGAATTTGAAATCCAAAATAGGGTGAAATATCTAAGTTGTGGAGGTTTAACATGTATACGTTCTCATTTGCTTTGTTCTATTGAAACAGTGGACTCTTCGTGGACTTTGCATTGGTTCGTAACCTCAATTCTCAATAAGTTATCATTCTTGTTCGGTACCAAAAAGGATTTTGCTAAATAATCTGTCATATTGCATTGCTCGACAGGATTCATTATATTCATTGCTATCGTTTGGGTTCTGCAAGAAACAACTACAGTTCGTATTCTTCGTTATGTCATTTTGTTCATCGGTATAACTCTTGGTTCCTATTCCGTATGTTTCAATGAAACGACATATTGCTCATTAATGTTCGTTTATCGTTTGCAGGTGTCATGAACAGTTTGTTTTCAGTTTATGGTAATGATCTATGCTCATCTAAATTAACATATATGTATAGAGGGAGGTTCCATTAGAAACCTCATTTTCATTGAGGTCCGAGGAACTACCAAGAGAGTGGCATGTGTCCATATTCATGATGAATATGGACATGAAACTTTTACAACATTCATCATGAATACAAACGTTCATGGTGAATTTCCCCATCCATATTTGTCATGAATATCAACACATGGTGCGGTCTTGGTAGTTCTTCGGTTTTCAATGAAATATATATATATATATATATATATATATATAAATGAATTAAATAAATGGAATTCTTTTGTGGCAGATATTTATGATGATCTAATTTCAAGGAGAGTGAACTCCAGTGATGCTGAGAAGTTTGCAGAAATCTGCCCCTGCCCATGTAATGGTGTGGCGTGGGGAGTCATATGGTTAGTTTTTACCTTAAAATGTTATTCCCATCTTCCCAAAACAAATATCTGTATTTTTATTTTTATTTGTATCATTAGGGGCTGTTTGGTAATTGCTGAATGGTTTGGTGTAGAATGATTAGGTAGTCAGAATGATTAAGAGGCTCTCCTGATATAGTGTAAAATGAAATATAATTGTTTGGTAATTGTGTACAATGAAATTAGGGCTCTTAATGGTTAAGGGGGATCCAGGATACAAAATCATTCAGAAGGTTTTAGAACCATTAAGAGGCATACTTTTTTTTTGCCAAACAAGATTCACCTCTTAACGATTCAGAGGTTATCTCTTAATGGAACTATTAAGAGGTAAACAAACAAACTTTCAAAAATATATAATTGAATTTCCATATCTACCCTTAATCAATTTATAAAAATTTAAGAATTGAGAAGATAAATACATTAATTAAGGGTAAAGTTGTCATTTGGTTAATAGAAAGTAGTAATAATTATTTATGTTTAAAATTGTGTCATTTTTACTGTGAACACTTATTTTAGGACGCACAGTATGTTTCACTAATGTTGTGAATTTTATTTAAACTGAAAATCATTGTTTGCCACTTCTTGCAGGGGAATGATATCTTTCGTTTTTCTCGGTGCTTCCGTATACCTTGGACTTGTAATATTATCATGAGGTATTCTATGATTAAAAGAAATATTGAATTAAATAATGATGATTTTTTTTTATTAACCTAGATATCCATCCTGCTATGCGAGCCGATTAATTGCAGGGTGACCACCTGCTTTGTAGATAGCCCGGAGTCGCCATATTTGAACCTCCGTGGCCACAAAAGGATTTTTACTTTTGACCTTTGGAGTCAAGCTCAAACCAATCGGATACTATCCTTGTGGTTGATGATCTTTGATCCCAGCACTTGCTGAATCACATACTACAACAAACCTATCATATTTATTCTAAATAATATCATATTATCATCTCTAAGCATGCAAGATTATAGATTGTCAAGGATGCTAAATATCGTGCGAAGTTAAAGAATCGAAGATTCATATGAATCATTGAAAAAACCCAGAAAAAAAAGAACATTTTTTTGAAGATGCATACGTGAACCTACGTTACAGATTATTCATATGCATATTAAAATTGATTTTATCAATGATTCACATATGAACCAACCCTTCTTAGCAAGTAGTGCTCCCAGTGGACTTGCATTTCTGGCTAAATACTTGACTTCAAAATGAAGATTTTTATAAGCATTGGTAAAATCTGTTGTGTTTTAAATATTTCTCATTTAAATCTGTGGTGTTTCAACAGGTTTATGGAGTCTGATTTGGTTCATGTGGCTGATTGATGCGTTGATACAGACTTTTACTGCACTAACTTTGATCTCATTCTTTCAGACCCTTGATTGGGTTTCATACATAAATATGATTTATTATTACTTTGGAACCCTTGTATTATTGCAGTATATATTTTCTTATTTTATACCATTTATTTACTCCAATTTTTGTGGATATATGTAAATTTCATTCATGTTCTCCAATCATTCCACATTTTATCAAATTCTCAACTTTCTCCACGCTAAAAGATGGCAGGATCATAGACTTATGTCTATTCTGATACCTTGTGAGAATGGAAAATGAGATTGATCCCAACCCAAACCAACTATGGGTCTACTTGTTAGTAGATTAACGAGGTTAATGGGACTTGCAGCTTGTTCAGTCAGCTATATACATAACTGTTTGTTAGTGGCTTAATAATATATAGAAAATGACTTATTCAGTAAGCTTCTAAAGGGGAGCTTTATGCAAAAAAACCAGATTTTTTCTAAACTTGTCTCTTCCAATTAAAAAAAACATTTTTATTTCATTTATGAAAAAGCTTCCCTAAACAAAACATTTTCAATGTGTACAAACAGGTTAATCCATACAAACAACTTTATCTATACACAACTTAATGAAAAACCAACCAAACAACCCCCGAATCTATTAGGAGATTTTTGGTTTGGAAGAATTTTTTTGAGGGATCTGGATTTCGTAAAAAGATTTGGAAGCTTTGTTGTGCTTGGTTTATATGATTTGAAATAGAACTGAATTTCATTCTTTGTAAATGATTCATATAAACAAGTTATAGAAATAATTAAATTAACTTCTATTAATTGATAATTACAAAAAACGAATGTTTGTAACATATTCTAAAACAATATTTACATATAAATCCTATGAGATCCCATAAGATTCTAACTACCCCATGGGCTTTTGTGGGATTCCATTAAAATTTGAAGATTTCAATTCCGAACATCTCAAACCAAAAGCAAGTTTGGAATGAAATCCAATTCTAAATTCCACATAATACCGGATATATGAAATCTCAAACGTTTGTAAAGTGAATGAAGGTTCTCCCATATATATACATGTTTGATGGTGTATGTCTGTGGGACTCCAACACCCCCTCCCCACTCATACCTAGACGATATTAAACCCCGGCTCTGCTACCACGTTAGCATGTATGGAACCTTCTCAATCTCCATAAAAAAAAAACTTTGTTCCCACACGTACAACATCGCTTTGATGGTTCATGTCTAACTGATGTTAGGCTCCAAATAAGAACAATACATTTGGAAATCATTCGTATTTTCAGAAACCGTCTCAGAACAGCGAGAAGTGATGTGAGCTGGGGGCTGTGGTCTTCAATCTTTACTACACTTGATCTCACCTTATATCCTATATCAATTGGCGAAGCCTCACGATTGAACGTAATGAACCACGTTTCCCTTGTGTAGCAAGAATATATGGATTTATATGTCCAAATCATCATCTGGGTCCTCATCAGAATCCGGCATCTCGTCATCTGAATCACGGAAATATATGATCTCTCCCCTTCCAGGATCCTCCTGTTTTTGCAATTTCTCAATGCTTGATACGTGTTTGCCCTCGGTCACGGATCTACGCCCATCATAAATTTGAACTGATTTCCCCGTTTCTGAAACAAAGGGTTAATTGACAATCAGAAATTTGAATAACGGGCATACAATAAATTTCACTAAAATAAGAAGTCGTATATAACCATGCACTACAAAAAATTCGACTTTATAAGACGCCAAATATGTCTAAATGTACTAACAGACTGCTTTATAGAACTTAAGTTTTATGTTTATATAACCAAACAATCGTGTGTCCTATGTAAAAATATTACAATAAGTTGATACAAGACTTCTTAAATATAGTGTCCTATTATAAGACATTTTTCAGAAATGTTATATTAACACATCTTTGACACTTGTTTCTGTAAGAGTTTTTTTCCACATGATGTCGTATAAAAATCCTAATACAAGATTTTATTTCAAAAGTGTCTTGAAAAACTTGATAGGACGCCCAAATACATCCTATCAACTTATTGTAACACTTTTACATAGAATGCATAATTGTTTGGTCTTATAAACCGAAGTCCTATAAATCAGTCCATTAGGACATTTAGACATATTTGGTGTCCTATACAGCCGATTTTGTTGTAGTGAAGACAGAAGCAGCTAAAGGTTCCAAAGTTATAAAATACAGTATAGACTCGTATTCCATACCCTGGTGTTCAAACGGAAGTACAACTTTTGCTCTATCACTTCGTTCTTTATCGGAAAGCTGAAGATTGAATTGCACCTGCCAAAACATATAACCAGAGTTATGCTGAACATAAAAGAAACTCATGAAAGGATAGATTCTATAGTGACGGAAACTAACCTTAGGAACAAGGCTCTGTGCAGTTTCGTTCTTCCCAGCTGACAAAGATGTGAATTTGATGAGCGATTGTTCAATAGAGAACTCTTCACACTACAAAAGGAAGTTTTTTAGTTGACTTAGAGTAAAAAAGAGCATGTTCTAACGACTAAGTGCATTGGGGCGGACCCACTATGGTGCATATGGTGGCATGGGTCACCGCTTCGTTCCTTCATCGTAGTGTAAAAAAATAGGGTCGTGAAAGGTGCAACAGTAGTGCAACTATATATTTCTTTGAAACTACAATAATAACACGAGTTTCTCTTGGGAAAGTTGGTTTGCATGATCTTTTCTCCCCTTCTAGGCGCGGGTTCAAGTCCCGTTTGTATCATTTTCTTAGCTTTTAGCTTTTAATTTCATGCTTATTATGTGTTTCCGGAAATTTTTAAGATAAAAGACTCGGAACACGGGACCTCACATACAAATAGCAAGGAATTAACCGGCAAACCAATAATGATTTTGTAAAAATATACATAGCTTATTTTTTCTATGATCAAATGGTGCCGCCACTTGAAAAAAATTCTAGGCCCTCCTCTGTAAGAGCATCTCCAAAACTTTCTCCAAATTTTCTCAAAAATTTGCGAAGCAAAAGCCAAAATCTCCAAAAAGAAATTGCATTCAAACTCCAACAATTTATCCATTTCGGGAATTCTAAAATTAATTATATTATTAAAATATTCAATAATACTAAAATAAATCTTCTCTCCTTTCCAATCAATTTTTATTGGTTGGTTGGGGAGAGCAAAAAAAACCATTCTCTTTCTTCCTCCATTTGATGTTGGAGCAAAAAAAAATCTCTAAAAACTCTAATATCTTTTTTCTTCATTTTAGAGGAGTTGTTGGAGATGCTCAAGCATTAGAATTAGATATGACGGTAATTGGTTAACTTGAATATAATACTTTATTATCGTAAACCTTGACATCTTTTGAGATGTGTAATAGCTCAACGATTGTGGTCACTTCGTGAACATTTTGCAAGTACTTTTGACCTTTTGGGTAAGTTAAAGACAGATTCCCTTAATTAGGGGATGTGAAAATGGGTAGACTAGGTCGCATGGGATGGTTTTCAATGTTTTTTTGACATGGTTGAGGAATCCCATATTGGTGATCATGTAATTATGGTTGTCACTTTCTTTGCTGATATGCTGCACTGTATATGTGCTTGTGTGTGGTGTGTGCATGTGTACATGTTGAGAGAGAATGATGGGAGTACCATAATCCTAACACGTCCATTTCTGCGCTTGAGAGATGCATGAAATTGCCCTCGTTTGTAATTTTGTTCAAGCAAAGAAAGGTTCTCAGAGTTCTCTCTTAATACGTTTGTTGCTGTAGAAAGTGGTTTTACATTAGCCACCATTGAAGACATGTATTCGAAGGCAGCAGCGGTCTTCATATCATGGAGATCACAATGATGTAGCCAAAAGACACTAGATATCTGGGCTGCAAATGGTCACTGTAAGTTGAAAATATGGGAATGCATAATGCAACTGTATTTATATCAGAACGAAGTTGTAAATTGTAATTATAGCAGGGTTGGAAAGGGGAATAGCAAGGAGGTATGTTATATCCTAGAAGTCATCCCATGATAGCATTTCTTTTCCACAAATACCAAATGGATGTTACTTTGTGACCTTTGTTGTGTAGTTACGTAGGCACCCCCACAGTTATTAAGGAACCAATGATTCTTAAAGAAGTGCAAGCCCTAAATAACAGAAGTTTTGTTCAAATAGTTGCTAAGAATTATCTGTAAAATTCTATCCTCCAAATTGAGATTATCCTTCCTCAAGAATCATCTGAAGAAGCCACTTATATCTATAGCTTACAACATGTGCTAGTTCTTATAATGCACATGATTTTCTTTTTTCTTTCAAAGAAAGTTCTCATGGAAGTGACAGATTGAATGGTGTGAAGACCACAATATAAACGTACCATGGCTCCGGATATTGCTTAAAAGGCTAGCGACTGAAGACAAGGATGTGTGTCTTAGCATCTCGCTTACCTGAATAAAATATATGAATAACTCCATTATAAACATGGAACAGACCTTGTTAAAAGATTATATGAATGACTTTGCAACCCGTTCAAATTAAAATCTCTTTCAACATACAGAAAATTCAGCCACCCTATACATTCTCCTGACGGGTGCTTCTTGTAATATAGTTTTGCATCTATATTAACTTTGCATAGTGGATTGCCACGATGAATTTCCCTTAAAATTTTATGGACAAAAGCACTCAACCCTTCATATGAAATCACTGTAAACTCAAACTGACATCTAAATGGTTAAACCATACAAAATCAATAATGCAGACAAGACAGCTTAATGTACTTATAAAACAATGATAGTTGGCTGTTTAGCTGTTACTTTTCTGGAATTAGGTTCCAGATATGATAGAGAAAACAACAAGCATATTCAAAATAATACTTCATACACTATGAATGCTATGATTTAGAGTTGGTAAATAGAAAAAAGCAGGATTACCGAGTCGATGGCGACCGAGAAACGATTTTTCCCCTCCCCAACCAGTCCTGCAAACACACATCAATCACATGAATGACCATATACAGAATCTTATCAGAACATCAAATATCAGTATGTATTATCTAAACCATATGCACGTAACTACATGTAACTACCTTTTCCTAACGCAATAATCAAAGAGAACAAATCATCCAAGTTTCTCACATCTTTGCAAAGATTAACAATAAGTGAAGCCTCTGTTGACGGAGTTTTAATGGCTCCACGCTCTTTAAGCCGTTCCTTCCAACCCAGAGGATCAGTATAACAATCTAAAATCCTCAACCTGTCCAAAATTTTTATTTGGATGAACAGTTATTATTGACATCATCTCATCAACAAAAACAAATTTCTCAATGTGAAGGAAGCAATTTCATTTTGATATGTGCTATAAAAGCTCCATCATGTCCAATAATTTCAATTATTGCCTCATTCTATGCCCTATTTCTCTGAAATGAAGAACAATCTTAGACAGGAAATAATCATTAATGTAGCAAACAATAACGCGATAATATTCTAACCATTCGTGTGTAGTTGTTATATCAATTCCTCTGCTTTTAAGCAATTCAACTATGAACGAAGGACTCCTAGAAAAAGCCACGAGCACAACACCTCTGAAACTCAAAACCATCCATTTCAGAAATCATGTATATTACTCCCTTGAATTCAATCAACTCGGAGTTCTAAATACATACGACTTAGAAACAAAAGTGTAGAAATTTTACCGAGACTGAGACTTCCCCGAAGAAATGTAGGACGATAGCTGAGTAAAAATGTAATCGAATACGATGGGACCGAACGGTGAGTCAACAGAGTCGTTTATCGTGAGAGACGTTGCGTGTTCACCTTCTAGTGCTCCGTCACGGAGGACTCTGCAAATGGCGTCCGCCATTTCCGCCGGKAKRGGACTWACCGGTCCGATTGAAGGAGGGTTTAGACGTTTTCACCAAACCCTAACTCGATTATGAAGAAATAAACCGGTCCGATTGAAGGAGGGTTTATACGGTTTCACCAACCCATGACTCGATTAGGAAGAAATATACCGGTCCATCCTTTTGGGTATGGATCGCGGTTTAGAAGAAAGATTAGAGGACCGGTGAAACCCGATTTCGAAGATCCAAACCTCGAGACTTATTAGGAAAAAAAATCAGGTGCATATGAGGATGATGGTAGACCATGTACTTATATCAGTTTAAATGTTTGACCTACATATCAGATCGGTTATATGCGTCCACAGGGTCTTTTAGCTGACCCAGACTTGATAACATGCCTCTCTAATTACATGTTAATACTTTTTAAGCCACTGATAAAAAATCTTGTGAAAATATGAGTTAAAATAAGAAGTATAAAAAATGATCTGGACATTGATTATTTTTTTAATCTCACCACCACCCCATAAATTGTTGTCATCACTGGAATTGGTCTGGTGCATCTCGGTGCACCACATTAATGTTGATCGTCTATTATGATTGATCCAATGTTAGAGATTTCTTCTTATCTTTTTCATCATAACTATTCTCACTAGACCTCAATCCTTAAACCACTGATGTTTAGGGTTTGTTAACATAAAAGTCTCATATCTTAATATTAGTATCCCTGATTTTTAGGGTTTATACGATAATTATTATTATCAAATAATATGATATAATGTAAATAATGAAAACCAACTTTCGTTTGGTAGTCAAGTTTTTGTATAATAAAGTTATGTTTGACATTCATGTTGGTTGAAATATATTGTATTTTTAACAATCTTTACTTTTGTTCTTTTTTTTGTCAGGTTTAAGACTTGTATTGTCAAAGTTTGAAAGTTAAAGGGCTCAAGGACTGAGCCTCACTTTTTGGAATTCATAAAGGGTAGCAGAGTATTTCTTCTTTTCTTCAAGGTCTCTTCTGTAAATATTTTATAAATATAAATATAACTTTTTTTTTTTCAAGAATTCTCAGTTTTTCAGTTTTCATTTTTGTAATCTCTCTAAAATCATCTCTCGTCTTCTTCTCAATTTAGCCAGCTAAATCTTATATGTAATCTAGGGTTTACATTGTTTATAATCTGTTTTTGATAAATAAGCAGTAAAATCTTTTTGGTTATCAATTTATACACATGTGTTAGTTTATCTTTTAAATTTATTTAAAAAATGTCCGACTGACTAGCCATAAACTAGGTTTCTTGTAGGTTGTTTCAAGTAGTGTTTTAACGAATTTTATAGGCTTTTTTTCAATAATCTCTTAAATAATTTTTTTTATAGTTATTCAACATGTTTTCAGATCATTTTATATTATCATTTAACTTGTTGTCTAGTTCAAACATGACTACTTTATTAGTAAGTTTATCAATTTACAGTTAGGTTATCAACTAACGATTAATTTTTCAGTTAACTTGTCAAACATGCTCTAAATCCACTAAATATAAATAACAACAACCAACTTTATCCATTATTGTCAAAGACCTTCCAGTCTAGTGGTAAAGGCTTGGGCATGACATAGTCATGAACCCGAGTTCGAGCCCTGGGAGGGGAGTGTTGGCGATATTTAAGTGAGACCATGTTTAGCCTCAAAATTTGTCGGGAATTAGTCGGGCTTTGGCCCGGACACCCTTACAAAAAAAAAAAAAAAAACTTTATCCATTATCATAAATAAATATTTTAATTTCCAAACTTCACCGACTAAATTAAAATCAGATCAAATCAATTTCCAATATTTGCGATTAACCCAACAAGCAGTACACCAACACATGACAAAATTTAGAGTTTTAAAACGGTGCAATCGATGTGATCGTCATAACAATGATTTGCATGATTCCGTTATTTGTTGGTCATCTGTGTGTATGCCTTAATTCTACCGACCTATAAGGGTTTCGTCTTGTGGACATATGATACGACCTAACTTGCGGTTCATCTAGTCTAACGGACAATAATATATAACTTTTACTTGGATTCATGTCTCATCACTCTACAATTATTATAGTTTTTTTTTAATTCAAAATTACTGGTTAAAAATCGTGCATATTATAGTATTTTAGCTTTTAAATATAATATTAGCAGTGATTTTATTTAATCAATAAAACTACTATTTAGCGTAGTAGTATAATTAATTTTAAATGGAACTTAAGAGTGTTACTGAAATTTCATAACATATCTGCATGAAATTTAGAGCAAGAATACACTAAAATATTTGGGAAAAGTTGATTATCGACAATCTCAATCGGTCTTACACGGAACCCATCTTTAAGAACATTAATGTGAAGGGGTATTTTTTGGCTCATTTAACGACTTAAGCTAACAGGGGACTCGGGATCGAACCCACGTGTCTTGTATTTAAACAAAATAGTCTCGCATCTTTAACCATCTTAAGTAACAATGGTATAAAAACAAAGGAGACTAGTGACAAGAAAAAGGGACCATTGACTCTCTTATTATGTATTTTGTTTATAAGGATATCTTTACAATGCAATGTAATTCATCTTTATTTTGTTTTTGTTTTTTTCAATATTATCTTAAGAACTTATTTGATTTGGAAAGAGTAAAAGAATTTTATATTGGTTATCGAGTTTATAAAGTATTTTTATCGTATTACCAGATCTCAATATTTATCTTGTATTTGTATATATTTATCATCTGGTTTGCAAATGTTGTATTATATTATAAAATGTTTGTATGTGACAATACATGTAATTGAAATTTTGAAAATTGGGTTAAAAAATTATATATATAATATATATATATATATATATATATATAGGAGCGATCAAATGAAAATCACCCCCATTTATACAAACCACCCTCATACGTCGATTTCATTGTTTAATCTTATAAAAAAATTTCATGAAATTGTTTAATCTTGTGAAATTGTTTCATTTAATACTTTTTTTTGATGAATTTGTTTCATATATGGTTATGAAATTGTTTCATATATGGTTATGAAATTGTTTCATATAATATTTAATGAAATTTTAATGAAACTGTTTCATGTATTTCTCTAAAATTAAAATAATAAAGATGATAATATTATGATTAACACCCTCCACAAGAAAAATGGTTAATCAACCTCTCATAATTACAAAAAATGAACAAAATAAAAAAAAATATGATTGATTAAATGTGATTTTCACGATTTGTACAAATTTGGTGGTTTTTATTTGAACGTTCATATATTATATATATATATATATATATATATGATAATTTAGTTTTTGTTTATATTTATGTGGGATTTTAAAACTTGATATGTTCATATGAAAAATGTAATATCGATTTTCAAAAACATTTGAAAACAACCCCTTGAAAAAATCTAACAAACTTTCATATTTTGTGTGATTAAATCCCTAAACTTTTTTAAAACAAATAAATCCTTAAACTTTTTGAAATCAACAAAATAAATTTGTGAACTTATTGAAATCGAACAAATAAATTCTTGAACTTATTGAAGCCGGACAAATAAACTCTTGAACGCACTAAAACCTGCGAAACGCAACCAATTTTCATATTTTAAGCGATTAAATCCCTGAACATTTTTTTGAGTGAATAAATTCTTACACTCATAAGTCAAAAATAAAATATCATTTATCTTTCCATGTATCAACAAATCAATAGGAAACTACAACGAATAAATAAAAAGAAAAAAAATACACCATTTCTAAAAACCGTTACTTATTTTCACATCTGAATGACAATCGTAAATGTTTGTTATGATCATGTGATTGTCATTTGAATATGAAAGAAAAAAATAGCTTATTTTATAATTCATTTTAAATTAAAAATAAATAATAGATAATGAAAATGGTATATATTCATTTTATTTTATTGGCTTATTATAACTAATTTGTTATTGATCAATTAATATATCTATAGAATAATTATATATATATATATATATATAGAGAGAGAGAGAGAGAGAGAGAGAGATTTAAGATCATGTGAGACCAACATGTTTTCGTGAAATTCGTGAAATCACTCTTTTACATTTAAAACTTCACAGTATAACCTTCACCTATTTTTGCTGTCAAGGTTCACCTTTTTCTACCTTCACAATTTTTTGTTGTAAAGTCTTAAGTGTAAAAAAATGGTCGTACGAGTCTCACGAAAATAGATTGGTCTCACGTGAACTCAATCATCTCTCTCTCTCTCTCTCTCTCTATATATATATATATATATATATATATTTCTTTTTATAAATGCAAGTACTTTGCTTAAAAAATATCTAGGGACTAAATCCTCCATATATGAAAGTTTGTTTGGGTTTTTAAGGTTTTAAAAAGAATTATTTGTTCAATTTCAAAAGTTTAATAATTTATTTACTAATTTTTTTTAAGAATTTAATAAATGTGAAAAGTCAAAAGCGGCGTTGGTTTTTTTCCATTTAAAAAAGGCGTCTAAGACAATATTCCACTTTTAACTAATCTATATATATCTATAAAGCAAAATCATGATAGGTTGACGTGGCATCTCCTCGACGCAAAGATCCTATTTTTCTCTTTTTTCCACATTTTGATTTTTTTTTTCTTAGTAATTTTGCAAATTAATGTTTACATTTAACTCAAAAACTCTTCCTTTTCTCTTGGTACGTTTCAACTTCAATATTTAAATCCAATTAATTTTCACATTTAACTCAAAAACTCTTTCATTTCTCTTAGAACGTTTCAACTTCAATATTTAAAYCCTTCAATCTTTGGTTTTTTTTTTCATTTATGTGTTCTCCATCTCCATGTACGAGCTTTAAACTACTTTACGTTCTCCCCTCTTCTTTTCCATCTTTCATCTATGGCAGAAGAGTATACACGAGTTTATCAATATATGTAAGAAGACATTGGAACTTGGATTAAGAAGAAGTCTC